GGGAGAGGACCCAGGCATCCAGGCTCCCAGCCCCCCTGTTCTAACCACTAGACCCCACTCCCCTCCCAGGGCCGGGGAGAGGACCCAGGCGTCCGGGCTCCCTGCAGCTCTGACTCTTGCTGGCCGGCAGGTGACGAGTTAACTCTGTGCACGGCGGGAGCAATGGAAAGTTAAACCCAAGCCCCAGATTAATGATTACAGAAAGAAACTTGCACTGGGGCTGGAGACGGGCGGAGGGTGTCGGACGCCTGGGTTCCCTGCGCAGCTCCGGGAGGGCAGTGTGGGGTCCCGTGCGTTAGAGCGAGGTGCCGGGGCTGGGAGCCAGGACTCCTGGGTTCTCTCCCCGGCTCTGGGAGGGGAGCGGGGTCTAGTGGTGTGGGGAGCCAGGACTCCTGGGTTCTCTCACCGGCTCTGGGAGGAGAGTGGGGTCTGGTGATTAGAGCAGGGGGCGCTGGGAGCCAGGACTCCTGGGTTCTCTCCTCGGCTCTGGGAGGGGACCGGGGTCTAGTGGTGCAGGGAGCCAGGACTCCTGGGTTCTCTCCCTGGCTTTGGGAGTGGAGTGGGGGCTGGTGGGTTAGAGCGGGGGGCTGGGAGCCCGGACTCCTGGGTTCTCTCCCTGCTGGGGGTGGGATTTCCCGGGGATCCGGGCGGCGCAGGGGCTGGCGCGGGGTCTCGGCTCTCCCCGCGGCCCGGCCTCACCTGGAACTCCTGGCCCAGCCGGGCCGGGCCGGGCTCGGCGCCCAGGAACGCCCGCAGCGTCTGGTCCAGGCGGCTCATCGCGCGGAGCGGCTGCCCCGCGGCCGGAGCGAGGACGCAGGACGGAGCGGACTGAAGAGGAAGTTGAGGTCCCCGCCCCCCAACGGGCCGGTTGGGCGAGCCCGGACCTGAGCCTGGCGGGCCGCCAGCCAGGGGAGCGAGCGCGGCTGCCTAGCTGGGAGAACCCAGGCGTCCGGGCCCATCCTCACCTGGGGGATCCCGCCCAGCCCAAGCCGGAAATCTCTCCAACCTCTGGGGCAGGGTCGCTGAGAACAGCGCCGGTCGAGCCCTCCCCGAGCGGCGTTATGTGCGGCTGTTTCCCCCCGTGTGCCCTTCCCCAGAGGTGGCTGCATCTCAGCGCCGGCCGAGCCCTCCCCGTGGAATTTTTGCTATACGTTTGTGGGTAGTTTTGCTCTGGGTTGTTTCCTTCCCCTTCTCGGAGCCCTCTGGCTTCCTGGGGATGTCCCTGCCTGCCCCACAGTTGGGGGGAGTGGGGCTCAGCGTGCCAGTCGCCAGCCCTTCTTGGGGACCGGCCCGCTTCCCCCCCCATCCCTTAGTGGGATCCTTCCCCCCAACCCCCTCAGCTGGGATCCCCTCCCCCAGAATACCCCCAAGCTGCCCTATAACAGCCCCTTCTCGACACCACCCCTCGGCTGTGGTGCTAAAGGTAAATTCTCAGCCTTTGCCCCCGTGTCTGAGCTCAGGGCTTTGTGCACCTTCCAGCAGTCAGGAAATGACCTGCAGCGGAGACTAACCTCACCACATGTGCCAGGTGCAATTCCACTGTGACCAGGGCATTAATATCGGGTATTTCGCTACATGGGGAGGGCTTGCCCAGCACTGAGATGCAGCCAACTCTGGTGCGGGGCAGGTGGGGAACGGCCACACATAACTCTGCACAGGAATGGGTCACCCGGCACAGAGATGCAGCCACCTCTGGTGCGGGGCAGCTGGGGAACGGCCACACATAACTCTGCACAGGAATGGGTCACCCGGCACAGAGATGCAGCCACCTCTGGTGTGGGGCAGGTGGGGAACGGCCATTCATAACACTACCTCAAAGGACTTTAGGACAGGAAGTGAAGGCGTTTTCTGTATCTCAATGACACAGGGGGCTTAGGGAACCCTAAATCTGGATCTCCATCTGGATTTGGTCAGGACACTGGGGATCCACCCTCAGCTCTGTGGGACAGGGTCTGCGGAGAGATCAAGGCCTTCGTTTTCATGCCGGATGTATGACGCAGAAGAGCAGGGCTACCCGGGGCCGTAGGGAGACTGAGAGGCCTGGTCTGGGGAGGAGGAACTGACCCAGGTAGCACGTCTCCCGCCCCGGCCTTCTCCTGGGGATAGCGGGGCTGGGGCCTGGGGGAAGGGCTGAGCGGCAAGGGTGAGACATCCACCCCGTGGGGAAGTCACAGGACCCTGACTTCGCCTGGAACCTGTGGGGAGGAACTGGAAAGAGGAGAATGTGATCGGAACAACAGCAACGGGAGACTCGTGTAGTAGAGAGGGTGGGGGGAGGTGTGGGGAGCCAGGACTCCTGGGTTCCATCCCCAGCTCTGGGAGGGGAGTGGGGTCTAATGGTTAGAGCGGGGGGGCTGGGAGCCAGGACTCCTGGGTTCTATCCTGGGATCTGGGAGGGGAGTGGGGGGTCTAGTGGTTAGAGCGGGGGGGGGGGCTGGGAGCCAGGATTCCTGGGTTCTATCCTGGGATCTAGGAGGGGAGTGGGGGTCTAGTGGTTAGAGCTGGGGGGGGGGGCTGAGAGTCAGGCCTCAGTTGTTCTCAAATGTGGCCACTGTGGCCGCATGTGGCCACCAGGGGCTTTTCTTGCGGCCGCAGCCACATGGGGAGCGATGGGGGCTCCCCCCTCCCCTGGGGCCACCAGCAGAGGTCGGGCCCTGCCACCCTCTGGAGAGACAAACACTGAAGGAGCAGGGGGCGGCCCGTGAGTTCACCCCCCATTGCCCTGATCCCCCCTGCCTCCTCCAGCCCTGGGCTTTGGCCATGCAGCAACAGGCTCTGGCCTTACCGCCTCCTCTGGCCCTCGGCTCCAGCCGCCCCAGTGGGGGGCTCCGGCCTCCAGCTCACCACCACCCTTCCCTCATCCATCCTAGGCCCCCGCTACCTTCTCTGGCCCAGGCTCCATCCCCCATGCACAGGGCTTTGGGCTCGGGCGATAGGATCCGGCCTTGGGGCTCTGGCCCCACCTGTGTAGTGGTGGGGTGCTGGCCCTGCCTCCCCTGCCCCCTGCCCCCATCGCCCCAGCCCCCACTGCCTCCCCCGCCCACCGCTACCTCCCTACCCAACTCCCCATCCAGGGCATGATATATCCCCAGGCTTGCAGGGGCTGAGCAAGTCTGCTGTGAAAAATAATATTTGTGTGTTGGTTAATATCACTTTTCACAGCAGACTCTGTAGCCAGCTGGGAGGCTGTGAAAAAAGTGATACGAACATACAAGTGTCACTTTTCACAGCAGCAACTTACTAGCTAACAAGTCTTTAAAAAAAATAGCAAAAGAAACAACAACAACAAAGACAAGAATGTGCAAAACACCTTGTTTGTGTTTCTGTTCTCTTTAGGTCCAGTAAAGAATAGAGACAACGGTCCATTATTTTGATTATTGAAAAAAAAAAAGCCCCACATAAATAAATCACAAGGATTTGGATTTGTGCATATTTATTTGATTTCCCTAAAGCTAATTAAATATTTTAGGAAAAATTGTCAAAGTGGCACCAGCAAGATTTGGTAGCTGCATTCTGAGGCCACTAAAAATTTTGTTGTGAGAACCCCTGCTCTGAAGAAGAGGACTAGAGCCAGGGACAGAACCCAGGAGTCCTGGCTCCCAGCTCCAACCACTAGACCCCACTCCCCTTCGAGAAACCCAGGAGTCCTGGCTCCCAGCCCCCCCTGCTCTAACCACTAGCTCCCACTCCCCTCACAAAGCCAGGAGAGAACCCAGGAGTCCTGGCTCCCAGCCCCCCCACTCTAACCACTAGCTCCCCCTCCCCCTCCCAGAGCCAGGGAGAGAACCCAGGAGTCCTGGCTCCAAGCCCCCGTCCTGCTGGAGCACCCCGACATTGCTAAGCAGCATTGTGATGTCAGACACACCATACTGTGATGTCACGGGGCAGGGGGCTGATGGGAGGAGCCAGCAGGATGATGTCATGGGGCTGTCCCACGCTCCCCTAAGAGGATGAGGATGGTGCAACGTGCCTGGGTGATGACACGTTGCCAGGATGTCGTAGCACATCATGATGCAATGTGATGATGTCACAGTGTAGCATGATGCAATCACTCAATACAATGATGTCATCATATCTCATCATGACGTCACCATGGCGCAGCCCAGCGCTGGTGTGTCTCGCAACACAACGGAGTGTGGTGATGTCGCAGTGCACTAAGATGACATCACAGCCCAGCATCATGTGTTACACGGTGACGTCATGGCCCAGTGATCAGCTGTCACCCCCAGTCCCTGCCCCGATGGCCGTCGAAACCCACCTCGCTCTCTGATTGGTGGACGTCTGGTAATAGCCTCTCGGGATTGGCAGGGTCAATCTCGAAACCCGCCCCTTCGGCTCGCTCTGCGCTCCCTGATTGGCTAAGGCTTGTGACAGTCTGGCCCAAAGTTGCGTCCGCACCGCCTCGCTCTGTGATTGGCTGCTACCCGGCACGCCGGGCCACGCCTCCCACGCTTCGCGCCCTGTGATTGGAGGGAGGCGCCGCCGGCCCCGCCCTTTCCCCCGCGTTCGGTTCCGTGCTGCGCGGGGCCGGGATCGAGGCTGCTGGAGGAGCGCAGGGGAGACCCTCGGGCGTGCGCATGGTGAGGGGAGGGGGAGACCCCCCCTTACTGCCACGTGGGTTTGGAGGGGGAGACCCTCCCAGAGCCCCATGGGGAGGAGGGGAGACCCCCCAGTGGGGGGAGGAGGGGACTCCCCCCCCAGAGCCCCATGGGGAGGAGGGGAGACCCCCCCCCCAGAGCTCCATGGGGAGGAGGGGAGACCCCCAGTGGGGGAAGAGGGGAGACCCTCCCAGAGCCCTATGGGGAGGAGGGGAGACCCCCAGTGGGGGAGGAGGGGAGACCGCCCCCAGAGCTACATGGGGAGAGGGAAGCCCCTGATGCATCCCTGCCGGGTGTTATGTGTTGTTGTTACTGAGCTGCCCTCTCCAGAGGGGAGACATCTCAACATCCCTCTATGCCTGGCCTGCTCTCCGTTGTGAAAGATCCCCAGGATCTGCAGGGGGAGGAATCCCCCGACGCTGAGATGCAGCCACCTCTGGGGCGGGTCAGCTGGGAAACAGCCGCACATAACAGCACATGGGGAGGGCTCGCCTGGCGCTGAGATGCAGCCCCTCTGGGGTGGGTCAGCTGGGGATCAGCCGCACATAACAACACATGGGGAGGGCTCACCCGGCACTGAGATGCGTCCACCTCTGGGGCACGGCAGCTGGGGAACAGCTGCACATAACAACACACAGGGAGAGCTCGCCCCGTGCTGAGATGCAGCCCCCTCTGGGGTGGTGAAGCTGGGGGGGGGCAGCACCCAGGAGTGCTGTGGTGGTGAAGAAGGGGGCGTTGGTGTTATAAGGGGGGTGCTGCCGGCCCTGCTGTGCTAAGCTTGGTGCCATTAAGCTCCCGGTGGGAAGGCGATTAGTGAACAGGGCTATTTCCTGCCGGCTCCTGCCTGGCATCGCTGCTGGGGCATGTGACAGCGATTAGTGATTAATGCTGGTCTGACCGGCTTGGCCCTGCCCTGCCGGCTGCTGGGAGCGGCCCGGGCTGGCCGTGGCTCCGGGCCTGAACAGCGACTTGGGTCCGTCTGGTGTTTGCACCTCCATGGGGGGTGGAGTGGGGTCTAGTGGGTTAAGGCGAGGGGGGGCTGGGAGCCAGGACTCCTGGGTTCTCTGCCTGGTTCTGGGAGGGGAGTGGGGTCTAGTGGTTAGAGCGGGGGAGCCAGGCGCCAGGACTCCTGGGTTCTCTCTCCAGCCATGGAACTTGGCTTCCTGTGACTTTGCCACTGCAGGTGCTGCTTGGCATGCGGAGATGGCAACGGGCGAGCCCGGCTCACCGACGCGGGAAGGGATGGCGCTGCCCCAGGAGCAGGCCGGGCTGTGCCCCACGGATACAGGTGAGTCCCTGCCTGGGGCGCGCCCCCCAGACTGGGGACAGGAAGGTGTGGGGTTGTCCTCCATCCTGTGGCCAGGGACATTAGTGGGGCTGTGGTCACCGGGGCCCCCGACCCTACAGTGGGGACGCCCTGCTGATTGCAGAGAGAGAGTACCCCTGAATTGGTCACACAGGGGGCAAGGACTCTGGGGTTCTCTCCCTGGCTCTGGGAGGGGAGAGGGATCTAGTGGTTAGAGCAGGGGGGCTGGGAGCCTGGACTCCTGGGTTCTCTCCCTGGCTCTGGGAGGGGAGTGGGATCTGGTGGTTAGAGCAGGGGGGCTCAGAGCCAGGACTCCAGGGTTCTCTCCCGTTTCCGTGACTCTCTCCTTTGCCCCCCAGGGGGGGACGAGCTCAG